TTTTGTTGTCCAAAATGTGTGCGTGGGCCGCCGCGCGCGCGGCGACCCTGGCCGCTCGCGCACTGCGTTTTTCCATACAGGGTGCGCGTGGACCGCCGCGCGCGCGGCGGCCCTGGCCCCTCGTGCCATGTATTTTCCTATGCAAGACGCGCGTGGGCCGACGCGCGCGCGGCAGCGCATTTGCCCTTCACACATAATGTTTTTCCCTGCCAGGTGCGGCTGGGCCGCTGCGCGCGCGGCGGCCCATGGCCTCTCGCGTATTGACCTAACAGCTACGACTGATGCGTATTTACTTAACAGACTGTGGGGTCAACAAAGACCTTTGACTCCCCAAGGAGGTCTGGGCGGGTGCCGGGAAAATCCGGGGAATCCGGGAACTCCCCAGGACTCCTATCGATTCCTATAGCTTCCGATGGATTCCTACAGATTCTGTTCCCAGGACACCATTCCCAGGCCACATTTTGAATGCCCGGAGCCAACTGTAGGCCGCTTCGTGTTCTTCGTCTTCCCAGAACACCACTCCCAGGCCACTTTTCGAATGCCCGGAGCCAACTGTAGGCCGCTTCGTGTCCTTCGTTTTCCCAGAACACCACTCCCAGGCCACATTTTGAATGCCCGGAGCCAGCTGTTCGCCACTTCGTGTTCTTCGTGTTCCCACAACACCATTCCTGTACCATATTTTGATTGCCCGGAACCAAGTGTGGGCCACGTCGTGATCTTCGTGTTCCCAGGACACCAGTCCTGTGCCATATTTTGAGTGCCCGAGCTGAGGCAGGCCAGGCAGGCCGAGGCCGAGGCAGGCTGAGGCTGAGGCTGAGGCGCGCCGAGGCAGGCTGAGGGTGAGGCTGAAGCTGAGGCCGAGGCAGGCCGAGGCTGAGGCTGACGCGGGCTGAGGCCGAGGCAGGCTGAGGCTGAGGCTGATGCAGGCTGGGGCTGAGGCAGGCTGAGACTGAGGCTGAGGCAGGCTGAGGCTGAGGCTGAGGCTGACGCAGGCCGAGGCTGAGAGGCTGGCGCTGAGGCGGAGGCAGGCTGAGGCTGAGGCGACCCTCCGCCCCCGCCCCTCGACGACCCTCCCTTCCCCTGGCGGCCCTCCGCCCCTGCCCCCCGACGACCCTCCGCCCCTCCCCCGACGACCCGCGGCGACCCCCTGTGGCACGGCGTCCCACGGCGACCACCCGTGCGCCGCCGACGACTCTCGCCCCCCCCCGCCCCCCGCCTGCCCCCGTCGTGCGTGTTTGCCGGTGTTCCTTTGCCGTCTCCCTTCCCCCCTATCGGTCCTCCTGCTTGGGCATGTTTGCTCGCCGCGTTTTTCCTCCGCCCCCTCCTCGCCCGCCCCCCCTCCCCGGTCAGCACAGGCTGCCCGGATACAGCGTGGCGGCGCGCAGGTATGCAAAGCAGGCAAGCTGCGGGGGTCGGATGGCTGCGACGAGGCAGGCGAGAGGCTTTGAACTCTTTTACCCTGACTGGCAGCAGCCGGACCAGCTGGTCTGTGAAGGCCGGGGAGCTTCCAATGATTTGTGGCCGAGGCTGAGGTTAGGCTGATGCCGAGGCAGGCTGAGGCTGAGGCTGAGGCAGGCCGAGGCAGGCTGAGGCCGAGGCTGAAGCTGAGGCCGGTTGAGGCTGAGGCTGAGGCGGTGGCTGAGGCTGAGGAAAGCTGCGGCTGAGGCAGGCTGAGGCTGAGGCTGATGCAGGCTGAGGCTGAGGCAGGCTGAGGCTGAGGCTGGGGCAGGCTGAGGCTGAGGCCGAGGCTGAGGCCGAGGCAAGCCGAGGCAGGTTGAGGCTGAGGCTGAGGCCGATGCTGCGGCAGGCTGAGGCTGAGACAGGCTGAGGCTGAGGCTGAGGCAGGCTGAGGCTGAGGCAGGCTGAGGCTGAGGCCGAGGCAGGCTCAGGCCGAGAAGGGCTGAGACTGAGGCTGAGGATGAGGCCGAGGCAGGCCGAAGCTGAGACAATGCGAGGCTGAGGGGGGGGGGGCGGGGGGGAAGGGGGGGGCTGAGGCAGGCTGAGGCCGAGGCAGGCTGAGACTGAGGCCGAGGCAGGCCGAGGCTGGGGCTGAGGCAAGCCGAGGCAGGCTGAGGCTGAGGCTGAGGCTGAGGCCGAGGCAGGCTGAGGCTAAGGCCGAGGCAGGCTGAGGCTGAGGCTGAGGCAAGCCGAGGCAGGCTGAGGCTGAGGCTGAAACTGAGGCAGACTGAGGCATCCGTAAGAATCCTTCGGAATCCATGCGAATCCTTAGGAATCCGTAGGCATCCTTAGGAATCCGTAGGCATAGTTAAGCATCATCAGGAATCCTTTGGAATCCGTTGGAGTCCCTAGGAACCCTGAGGAATCCCAAGGAATCCCTAGGAATCAGGATTTCCGAGGATTCCTAAGGTTTCCTAAGGAGTCCGATGGATTCCTAAGGATGCGCACGGATGCCTTAGGAATCCCAAGGAATCCTCAGGGTCCCGTTGGATCCCAAGGCCGTTGCCATTGTGACTGTCAGTGCGAATGCGACTGCGACTGCGAGAACAGCAGAAATTCGACAACTGGGCTCTCGCCTGAATATTAAAGGGAATTCTTCCAGATATGCTCATACACATCGTTGTTAGGTTGCTTTGCCAGGGTATTTTTTCTCAATTCATGGTGCGCGCGGGGCGCCGCCCGCGCTCGGCGGGCCATGACCCGTCGCGAGCTGTGCTTTTCCGTGCAGGATGCCCGAGGGCCGTCGCGCGCGCGGCGGCCCTGACCCCTCGCGCATTATGTGTTTTTCCCCCCATGCAAGACACGCGTGTTCCGCCGCGCGCGGCGGTCTTGGCCCCTCTCGCATGGTGTTGTTCTATATACGATGCGCGGGGGCCGCCGCGCGCGCGGCGGCCCGTGGCCCCCCGCGCACCGTAGTTTTTCCGTGCAAGATGCGCGTGGGCCGCCGCGCGCGCGGCGGCCCTGTGCCCCTCGCGCATTGCGTTTTCCCATACAAGGTGCGCGTGGGCCGCAGCGCTTGTGCGGCGGCCCTATGCCATTCGCGCGCTGTGTGCTTCCATTCCAGACGCGCGCGGGCCGCCGTGCGCGCGGCAGCCCATTTGCTTTCGCGCATTGCGTTGTTCCATGCAAGATGCGCGTGGGCAGTCGCGCGCGCGGCGGCCCTTGGCGCCTCGCGCGTTGTGGTTTTTTCCAAACAAGATGCGCGTGGGCCGCCGCGCGCGCGGCGGCCCACGGCCCCTCGCGCATTGTGTTTTCCCATGCAAGATGCGCGCGACGGCCCTCGATCGGACAGCCACCGTGTTGGCCTGCGAACTCAAGTGAGCCCGCAGCGGTTGCCGATGTGTGTTTCAACGTAACATACGGTTTGTATGTTGTCGTTCATCGGCGCGGCCTGCAATGCGCCGTCGCGCCCGCGCGCGCGCGGCGTGAACCCGCAGCCGTTGCCGATTGAATTTCCCATGTAACATGCGGTCTTTCCGTTTTGTTTTCGTCAAATGGTGCAGCCTACAATGCGCCGACGCGCGCGTTCGCGTGGCAGTTTCTGTTTTGCCCGCAAAAGGAAAATCCTTCTGCTGGCATTTGACCTAACGTGAACCCTGAGCGTTTGCCGATTGGGTTTCCAATTTCACATGCGGTCCTTACGCTTTCGTCTATCGGTGCAGCCTACAATGCGCTGACACGCGCGCGCGGGGGTTTCTGCGTTGTCAGCAATACGAAAGTCGCCATGCGGGTCTGGGAACTAGAAGTGACCACTTAGCGGTCGCCGATGGGATATCCCATGTAACATGCGGTCTTCACGTTTTCGTCCATTGGTGCAGCATACAATGCGCCGGCGCGCGCGTTCGCGTGGCGGTTCCAGTTGTGTCCGCAATAGGAACGTCGCCGTGCTGGTCTGCGAGCTGAAGCGAACCTTTTCTAGCGCTTGCCGATTGGGTTTCCAAGTTGGACTGCGGTCTTTACGTTTTCGTCTACCGGTGCAGCCTACAAGGTGCCTGCGCGCGCGTGGCGGTTGTTGTATTGCTCGCGATGGGAAAGTCGCCATGCGCGGGTCACTGCACTCTGGGCATCCCCCTCTGGATGCCCAGAGTGCACTCACAAGAGTACACTCTGGTGAGGCGATGGGGCTGAGAGTGCACTCGTGGTGAGTGCGCGCGCCGAGTGTCGGCGTTGAGTGTCGGCGCCGAATGTGGTTGCCGAGTGTCGGCGCCGAGTGTCGGTGCCGAGCGTCGGCACCAAGCGTCGGCGACGATCGTCGTTGACGCGCCGAATGTCGGCGCCGATCGTCGTTGACGCGGGGGGCCTCTAAAGACCTGCCCCCCCGCGCGAACCCAGCGCAGGAATCTGCCCCTGGACGCAGAGTGCCAGGGCGGTCGCGGGGGCGTCCCCAGCGGTCCGGTTTGCCCCGCTTCCTTTTTGTTTTCTACATGCGCACGGCAGCGCCGCGTTTTTTTTGTTTTGTTTTGTTGTTGTTCTCTCTATTTGTTCAATATGTGTATATATATAAAAATAAATAATAAAACGGGTTATTGTAAACTGTTTCCAGACATTACACGCAATAGTGACCTCTCGCCGGAGTGACTTTTGGTGCGGGCCCAACGGAGTCCCCCGATCGCCGAACGCGATGCGGTAGTAGCGTCTTGCGCGCTCGTGTGTTGGTTCCCCCGCGGCCCCCAAAAACCGCGCACCATCGATCACCCTTACCCAGGGTCGGTTTTGCGTGTAGCCAACAGGCACAGTTGGTCGTTGTCATCTTCCCGGTGGCGAGCCCATGGGGGGGAATGCGAGGGGGCAGGCCTTCTCACAGGGCAGCGGGGCTTTTCAGAACCATGTGTGGCTTCGTAGAAACCGCCTGCGGCTTCGGAGGAATTTGACAAGGCTTCTCGGAAGGTGCGAGGGCTTCTGAGAAACGCCCCATCAGGAGGCTTACCTCTCACTTCCCCCTTGGGGTTCGCCGCCGATCCTGTTCCCCCTCTCTCCCCACTCCCCCTCCCCCGCGCGCGCGGGAGGAGCGGGTGGGCAGGGCGAGCGCGCGCGCCCCTGAGGTCATGGCGGCCCTAGACGCTCTGGAGATGCACGGCGCTCCGCGCGGGCACGGCTGGGCGCGGCAGCGTTCCAGGCACCACCACTGGAGACCATGCGCTGCTGGTCTACAGAACCGCTTTGGTGGGTGCGGTCGAACGTCGCACAGCAAAGCACTGTCACAGGTCAGCCGCCACTGATCCATCTTTTCGCTGTGGTACGGTCAACCCGCATAGTAAGGATTGGTTGCCTTCCCTAGGGAACCCTCGCAGCCTTCCCCTTCGGGCCATCCTTTTGGCCGCTTTCGCTGGCCGCGCCCCGCTCGCAAAGTGTTGACGTGGCCGACCAAAGCCCTTGCATCCTTACCGTGCATCCTTTTCATGCGGGCTGGCTGTAGTGGAAAGTGGACCAAACCTCCCCAGCTGGGCGAGGGAGAGGGCAGCGGTCTTGGGCCCAGGGCCGCAATCCAAAATGGCACCCCCACCCTGGACCACCACCGGGGTGGGGCAGACTTGCCGAATGGGTGCCGCGATTGGGGGTGAGATTTTGGGGAGCGGCCCGCGCTCGAGCGCCAGCTTCGAAGACCGAGGAAATCTCACCCCATCCCTGGTCCCAGTACCCCGCATGCACGGGATTCCCGCGAGTGCCGCCGTCGGGGGTTGGGGGCAGGTGCGTGGAGTGCATTAGTCCAGATCTCCCAAAAGATGTCCGAGCAGATGAGGTCGGAGGATCGCGCCGCATCGCCGATGCATCGGCGGTACGGCTCGATGTGGTGCCGATGCATCGCCGATGTATCGATGCGGCGCCATCCTCTGGGCGTCTTTGAAGGTCCTGGGGGTTCATGGGTTTTGGCTTCCGTTCCCTGGAGGAGTCGGCGGCCTGAAAGTCGTGACCCTCTCTTGGCATAATCCGACGTTGCGAGCAACAATGGCACATGACTACGAAGAAGCACGACCAGAGTCCCAGGCACAATCTTTGTGCGGCATTTCCCGAGCCAGATTGGTCTGTGATGGTCCTGGAGCTTGGTACGGGGCGAAGAAGCCCAGTCTAACACATTTGCGACACTTGGATCTCGGGGTTGCTCGGCACCGGGCCCGTGACCCCAACGGGGTCGGCGGACATTCCCGAGCCTGCCGCCGATCAGCGTGAACCTGCGGCCGTCTGAGTGGCTGCTGCAGGAGGTCCAGGACATGGTGATCGACGCGACGCGTCGCGCGCCAGACCGGATTGTCTTCGAGCTAACCGAGTACACCCAAGATTCGCACTTTACCAGGCCAGCGAGGGGGAAAGGAAGGTGCCACCCTTCCCTCGTTTTCGCCTTTTTGGGTCTCGGGGGGGACCCACGTCGCCACGGCTGGAATCGCCTCGAAATTCTCGCTCGAACGCATCCTGGGAAATGCTCAGGCAGTAGCGGCATCGGCACGCTATTGTTCATCATTTTGTATCAGCAAGCGGTCATCGACCACAGGGAGAGAGGTGGAGGAGGGGGGGAGGGGGAGGAGTCGAGGGCTGAGGGAGAAAGGGGAGAGGGGGAGAGAAGAGAGAGGGAGGATCGGGTGCTTCTTCGTTGTTGCCTGCGGCCAGAGGCATCTCCGAAGGCTTCTGGAGCCTCCGCCAGACACTTTCGGTGGCTTCTGGGGATGCCCGCGGGAGCAGGAGAGGGTCCCAGAAGTTCCGAGCAGATGCTGCCCCACGGGGCTTCCTCACACAAAGGCTTCGGTGGCCACCCGTCCAAAGGGTTGGAGGACAGTGGGGGGCTGGGAGGGGAAAGAGGAGTCCATTTGAAACCGGCGCCTGGCCAACAGCGGCCGCGGTCAGTTTTTGGATAACATGTGTTGTTGGGTTTCGTACGCATTTTTTGCCCGCACCCACTGGCGGACGTGCTGAGCTGAAGGCAGCTTGCGACAGCCTATCATTTTTTCCTGCTCGCGCGCCGTTTGGTGCAGGTCACCCTATCGCTCTCGCTCCGCTTCGACGTTGCGAACAAACTGCAACATCGCAAAACATCACAGCCAGAGCCTTAAGACCCTATCTTTTCGAGGTATTTTTCAAGTCGGCTCGATTGCGATGGTCTGGGGACCGAGCCCCAGCAATAACGCCTTGTGTGCAAAAAACCAACGCTTGGATCTCAGGTTCCCCCCCCCCTCGCGAGGCTGTTCGGGGAGCAGGGTTCGCTCTCGCAGCGCCTGACGAGGACCCTGCTGCCCGTGCTGCGGCGCATGCGGCAAGTTGGTGTGAAGCTGATCGCGGACGACTTGCTGCCCTTCAGCGTGTACTGCTTCGACGGCGACTCCAGGGCTCCGCCAAGCCAGGGAGAGGGAGGAGGAATGTAGTTAGGGAGAGACCTCAAGAGGCCTTGGAGAGGCCTCATGCCCACGACACACGCACGGTGACGGGTTGGACCGAAGGCTGGTCAATCCGCCGCCACCTGTTTGCCACAGGTGTTCCCGGGGCCCTACCGTTTTTGGTTTGGGCGTTTCCCCAAAAAACTCCCCCTGGGGCTTCGGCCCGTCTCGCATGCCACCCGGAAGGCTCTGGGCGGGGTGGTTCCAAAGGTTCTTCTTGTTCCAGATGGCTCCAAGATGGCCCATGTTCGAGGGGGCACCAGAGGCCGTCACGTGTCACACCTCTTGTCCCCAAGTTTGGGCTATTTGCGATAAGGATCATGATGCTGATGCTGATGCTCATGATAGTGATGATGATGCTGATGATGATGATGATGATGGTGATGATGATGATGATGATGATGCTCATGCTGATGCTGATGCTGATGCTGATGCTGATGCTGATGCTGATGCTGATGCTGATGCTGATGATGATGCTGCTGATGAGGAGGATGATGATGGCAACATCAGTTATGTCCAGGAAGGGTCGGTTCTGATGGCTATTATCGCTGGGAACGGGTCGGCAGCGAGTTCACCACATGAATCGGGAAAGGCACGTGGTGAGGGGAGGGGACGGTGGTCATGAGCATGCTCTCCTCCTCCGCTCCTCCCTACAGCGGACTCGAGGGCGCATGCTTTGGCACCGCCCAAATCCTACACCAATCCCTGGCGATAATGATGATGATGATGATGATGATGATGATGATGATGATGATGATGATGATGATGATGATGGTGATGGTGATGGTGATGGTGATGGTGATGGTGATGGTGATGATGATGATGATGATGATGATGATGATGATGATGATGATGGTGATGGTGATGGTGATGGTGGTGGTGATGACGATGATGATGATGATGCTGATGCTGATGATGGTGATGATGTTGATGATGATGTTGAGCATCATGATCATTATCATTATCATGCTGATAGTGGTGATGATTATGAGTATGATTATGATGGTGGTGATGATGATGAGAATGAGGATGAGGATGATGATAGCAACATCATTTATGTGAAGGAAGGGTCGGTTCTGATGGATGTTATCGTTGGGAAGGGCGTTGATGGTGGCGATTGTGAAAATGACGGTGATTGCGATGGTGATGAAGGTGGTAATGTTGATAATGATGATTGTTATTTTGATGATGCTGATGATGATGATGATGATGATCATGATGATGACGATGACGATGACGATGATGATGATGATGATGATGATGATGATGATGATGACGGTGGCGATGATGATGGTGGTGATGGAGATGATGATAATGATGATGATGATGATGATGATGATGATGATGATGATGATGATGATGATGATGATGGTGATGCTGATGTTGATGATGATGATGATGATGTTGATCAAGATGATGATGTTGGTGCTGATGCTGATGTTGGGGCTGCTTATTATGAGTACGGTCATTATGATGATGCTGGTGATGCTGATCTTCATGTGGAGAAGGAAAAGCATCAGGATGATCATGCGGAATGAGGAGGTTGTCACATGTGGCACCTTTCGACTTCACTTCTTGAGCTCATTTGGGCTGTCTTGGTTCTGTCTTGGGCTCCCGCGGGGCAGTCTTCGGGCCCCTTGCGGCCGTCGTGGGGCCGTCTTGGGGCCTTTTTAGGCCGTTCTTTGGCTCTCTCGGGCAGTTGTTGGGCCCTTGGCCTTGTGGGGGTGCCTTAGGGCCGTCGTTGTGGCATGGACCTCTTCAGGCCGTCTTTGGTGTCTTCGTAGGCCCTCTTGGATGGATCATCATGAGGTCCTCTTGGCCCGTCGTGGGACTCTCTTGGGTCGTCTTTGGAAGATGTTTCGGCCGTCTTGAGCTGACTGACTTTACACCCGAAAATGGGAACCCGACCTGAGGAGCATCAATCAGTTTGGCGTCTTCGGACCCTGTTGGCCGTCCTCTTCTTGCCCCCTTGGGCTGTCTTGGTAGCATCCTGGATCGTGGAGAGGCCATATTGGGCCGCCTCGGGGCCATCTTGGGCCCTCTTTGGAGGCATCTTGGACGGGCAGGCTTTCGTGCCGCACCAGTTTCTGACGGCCCCGTGGCCCGATGATGGACCCCAGAGGCCGAGACCGAGAGAAAGCGTCAGGATTCGGACAAATCCCAGCGTCACAGATCCAGGCCTCTTGCACCGCCCGATTGGTAGTGCAGACACGAATCCAAGACGCCCTGCTTTCGTCCAGAATCGGCGCGCTCCGTCGCTAAATCGGAAGTCGTTGGCCGCATGTTTCGGGGGGTATTTCGGTGGCAGCTCTTGGTTCCGTCTTTAGCATCGACTCGCGTCGATTAGCGTCTGGGTGTCGAAGAGATTGCGCCGATTTAGCGTCGATTGGCGTCGACTTAGCGTCGATGAGCGCCGATTTAGCGTAGACTAGCGTCGATTCGCAAGAGCCGACAAGGTGGTATGGGAGGCCCCCATGAGTTGCCACAGAAGGGAACTTCGCCGATCCGTGGACTGAGCGCCCGTGCGCCAGATCCACGGATCCGAAGTCCGTGTTGGCGTGTGACTTACAGTGGAATCCCATGCCGAGAAACACCTTGCTTGCCCCCAGGTTGCCCTGGGTTTCTTGGGTTTCGACAGTTTTGCAATAGAAAGCGTGACGTTCCCACACCAAAAATCAATGAGCGTCCTGGGGTCTCTGGGTTGGGTTTCTTGTGGAAGGTTTCTCGTGTCGAGCTGTCACTGTAGCGCCCGTGCGCCAGATCCACGGATCCGAAGTCCGCGTTGGTGTGTGACTTGCCTCCGGAGCCCCCTTCAGGAGAGGCCTCGCGCCGGAAGGGCCACCGCCTCATAGACCACCACGCGACCGAGTGCAGCACGATGCTATCTCCAGAGTGGTCCGCGCGGGGGCCCCATCCTTCTCCCCGCTTCTCCTCTCTTTGGTTCTTCCTCTCTTCTCTCCCTCCTCTTCGTCATTCTCTTCTCATCATCCTCCTCCTCCCAATTCCCTCCCTCCTCTTCTGTTCCTCATCCTCCCCTCCCCTCCTCCTCTCCTCATCTTCCTTCGCATGCTCCGTCCTCATCTTCCCTCCTCCTCATCCTCCTCATCCTCCTCTCTCCTCTCTCCTCCTCCTCCTCCTCCTCCTCCTCCTTCTTCTCCTCCTCCTCCTCCTCCTCCTCCTCCTCCTCCTCCTCCCCTTAACCAACATTTCGGCCGAGCAGCGGGAGGCCGCCATCGAAGCTACCAAGGAAGCGTCAATCGAGGTGCCAGAGCTCAAGGCGAAAGGACCCCCCGCGACCCTGAGGGCTGCCAAGGCCTGCCTCAGTTCAGTGGCTGGTCAGGTGGCTCCAGCTGCTGGTGCTGAGCCCCCTGGCAAGTTCCTCCTGTGACGAGACTTTCATGTTCGCGAACATCACAACGTGGGGCCCTCAGGCGGTTCGATACAGTCACACGGTCAAGGACCAGTACCAGTTTTTGGCGCTCGCCGAAGCTCACGTTGAGGTAGCGCGCATCCAGTCAGAGCGTGAGCTGCTCTAGAAGGACAGCTGGAAGTTGTCGGCGACGCATGTGTTCAGGAAAGTTGTGGGCTATTCAGCCGGAGAATGAGTGCTCACCCGTTCTCACTTGGCCACGACGACGGCGGCCATGCAGCAGGAAACGCTTGCATGAGGAACAAGGATCCCCTCAGGAGGTTAACCCAATGGTTTGGCACGTGCAGTTAGGCAGCGTGGTCACTGTTTCGATTGACTTGTTGCCTGGTATGGGCATCCAGAACAAGACTGCGGACACGATAAGGGCCCTCGCAGTTTTCGTCCGCGTTTTCTTCTGCTCATCCTTTGCAAAGAAGAAACCAGGAATACACGGACAGTCTTGATATTGATTTCAGGCGATGCGTACCCGACCCGCTCCGACCCCTTGGAAGCATTTGGACGTCCTCTTGTACGGAAAAAAGTCACCCAGAAGATCTCCCTTGGAACCGACCATTCTTGCACAGGCCTCCTCCTCCCACCTTCCCAAAAGATTGCCGTATCTGCCTGAGCTTGTCCTTGGCCCACTGGTCCCCCTCTGAGTACTCCCCCAAGGAGAACTGTGTTTCTTGGCCCGTGTTCGGGGTGATACACATATTCGTGAGCATAGTCCGTCCCCTCCACCTCCGCCTCCATACCTCCCAGCGCCGCTGGAAGGAGCCACCTATCGTGCAACTCCTTTCTTGTGGAGAGAGCCGTTGGGGGACGTCGGTAGTTCTTCTTTTTTGGACCCCGTCCCCCCCCAAGCAGAGAGAAGCCTAGATAGTCTGGCCACTTCGGCCTCCCGGCCGAGGCGCATATTCTCCTTCAGCTCCTCGGTGACATCAAGTCTCCAGTGCCTGAGATGTTGCCGACGTTGCGCTCGAAGTTGCTTAGACAGCGCCCGAAGTTCTTGAGAAATAGCTAGCATGGCCTCATCTGTGCACGAACGGTAAAGGTTTTGTCGCAGGTGTCGTCGAAGCGAAAGAAGGGTGAGAACACGTTGCGCCTGCTCGGGGTGCTCAGGGGTCCTCTGTACATTGCCCTTGAAGGCAACAGCTCTGACGGCAGAAACAAAGTAGCCCCATTCAGCGTTGTGAGTCTGCTCATCACAACGGTGTTGTTGCCAAACCGCAGTGTCTCGAATCATCTGAGCCTCTAGGTCATTCAAGAACGATGCTCGCCTGGTGCCCATACGCAAGCTATTCATGAGAGCCTCGCGATTCCAAAGAACATGACGAGGAACAAAGCCTTCTCTGAGATCTTCAGGGAGCCCCGTGGCCTCTGTAGTAGTGGTGGCCGCCAGCGAGTACGCGGACCGAACAAGCAGCGGGATGAGGTCTCTGTGCTCATATGTCTAATGAGCTGCAATTGCCTGGCACGTTTCCTCAGGGTACCTGCTGAGGTGACCTGCTCGAGTGCGCACTTTGGGATGAACACAAAGTCCAATCTCGATGATGATCCTGTGCTTCCAAAGTACGCGGGGTCAGTGCCCACATGAAGTGAACAGGGACGAGGTCTAAGACTTCGCTGATGGATAGCATGACGTCAGCAGCATATCGTTGGCGCGCGGGTGGGACCTGGGACCCCAGTCGATCATCATGTTCTCGCGTCCAATCTTCGCTGCCTGTCAATCTCTGGAGCCCAGACCCAGAATTCAAGCCCATGGCTAGGATGGGGAAGCACCTCGGGACCGCCAGAAATGGGAGCCCTCGGATCCAGTTGCCAATCAGATCACATGTTTTCACATGCCCTGGAAACTCCGAAGCTCGCGAAGCCGGGGGAGGGAAGTACACGCTGGCCACACCGATGCCGTATTGGCTGCATCGAGCTCTGACTGCAATTCCTCTGTCTGCAATGTGGGATGGCGTGGCCCAAGTATGCGTCACCGTGCCTTGTCGGATCCGCGGCCCCAAGATGATGGTGCAGCCCGAGCTCTTGTTGATACCTGGGGCTCGCGCCTACCCAGCTTCCACTGTCCACCGCCCCCCTGCCCTCCTCCAGGCAATGTCCTCCTTCCCGAGCGCCCGTGCCAGTGAGGCGCACCATATCAAAGCCCGCGGTGACCTGTGCGATGTCTTATAATTTGTCGTAGGAGATGGCTGACAGCGAATTGTACTGCAAGATCGACACACCATTCATGGAATACTTCGAGCTGCTGATGGCCGGCAGCAGTCGCCCTATACACCTGAACCCTAGAAGAGAGAAACAAAGCATGGGAAATGCATCGTATCTGTGTAGCCGCGCGTGCAGTTCCGTCAAACATGATTTTTGGTTTTGGACAAATAGATGTCTGCGTTATCGGATGCGTGACCCCTCCCAGCCCTATGCCAGGGTGCTTAGAGGAGGAGGACGAGGAGGAGGAGGACCGATGACTTCCAGGGACCTCCAGCTCGTGAGTCTCACACTCCTCATCCTCACCTTCCTGATCCTCACCCGCCGCACCACCGCCGCCCGCTCATTCTCACCATCGTCGTCGAGCACAGGCGCACGCCCCTTCGTCTATATATATATATATATGTATATACACATACACACATAAACTCCCGATGAACTTCAGAAGCCGGCTTGTAATAGCATATGAGCATCAAAGACATATGTTCAAGCAATACCTCAACGATGCAAGTTTTCATGCGCAAAGTTGTGTCCAGATCTTTTACCAATTTTCCGGGGCCGTTGTGATGATCATTGCCGTATCGGCCAACGACGGCGTTGACAACCATATTCTTGACTTGCACAAACACAGTAGGGTTTTCCAAACTATGCATAGCCGGGGTATGGCAAATAAAATATAATGATAACGTCAAGTGGAAGTCATTCTCCTCGGTGGGGTTGGCTAGTACCCGCGTCTATGCGCAGCCGAAGGAAGACGATCTGTGGTAGTCAAAGAAGACGTTCTGCTTCCTAAGAATGATACCAAAAAGAATCCGGAGCAGGTGTCATCCACACTCTGTGCCATATGTGAAGATATGGTTATGTAACCAATGTTTCACCGAGAAGCTGCTATCTAAAGCCCTGAGCGTCATAGTCTCAAGGTAGTGTACAAAAAGAACTTCGCGAAGACCGACTCGCGAAAAATGGTGAAACGAATTCAACTTCACCTCCTCAGATTACGTGGCTTATGGATCAAGAAGTTTGTTCCGTGGAAACATGTTCAGGGACAGCACGACGTACCTGCGGGCGTCTGTGAGCAATTGAGCGAGAATGCCCAGTTCCGATGCAAATACGGTTTAGTCAATGTCTTCACGCGCAGAGAATTCGCCGAAGCCGCGGGCGAGCCGAAGCGTATCGCGTGTTCCGTCTTATCTGTTGGCAGCGATGCCACACTTCATGCCCTATCCGTCTTCGAGGCTGATGCGACGGATCAAGACGCTGTCTGGCACGTTGCACACTTGGCATAGGCACCAAAACCATTTTTCATTTTGTTGTGCAATTTTCTTACACGAGCAACCGCGGATAACATCGACCTCAAGTTCCCGCCCTAGGACCAGGGGGATGAGAAGAGAAAAGGCCGTCCTCCCCTCCGTGCTGCCACCATCGCCATTGCACCTTTGACCCCCGCATACCTACAGTATGACATGGCGACCATCATTCAATCTTGAGCCGCGTGGCGGGAGGCGGCCTGCGCTAGGGTTTGCCGGCTGCCGACGTCCGCGGCCCCCGCTACGATTCCCAATACCGTTGGGCTCAGCATCCGTCGTCTGCGTGGGGAGATACTGGTGGGTGCGAGGATGATTTGCCCCAGACATCATATCTGCAGTTGGGAGGTTCATTCCATTCGAGTATGTATGCTCTGCGGCTTCGCAGCTCCAATCGACGGCCGCAACCTCGCGAAACCTTGCCCATTTAAAAGGCTACAAGAAGGGGCAGCCTATTTCCCCGGCTTTTCTAGGGTCGCCACTTCCTTTTCAAAGGGTGTTTGAGGCGACCTCGGGTGCACTTTCAGATCCGGTCAGGGCAGGAACCGGCTACTGTGTCGATGTTGTGCCCCGGCGTGGACGGCACGAGGTCCCCCTCGGTTGTCCCCTGATTAATCCCTTCCCAATATTTTCCTTCGTACCTGGCTGGAAGCGTGGAAGGTGCCCCCGTCGTCGCGCCGCAGCGACCGAGCGGTGCGTGCGGCGGGAAGCGGGGGCGCCCCTTTCCTTTCGGCGGTTCGCCCAGGGGGGAGGTTCAGTGAACGGGTTGTTTTCCATATGGCGCAGACTGCTTTTGTGTGTTTTTTTGTTGCGAAAAGTGTTTCAAATTTTCGCCGAAGAAACAGACGGCTTCTCAGAAATTGGAGGGTTTCTGAGATTCCGTTGCTTTCTGAAAAAGGTTGCCCCTTGTCGCTTCCCCCCCGGGCGCGTCGCCGACACCCGAAGAAACAAGGAACTGCACAAACACATGG